AGATGTTAGAATGAACAGCTGTTAGAATGTACAGATGTTAGAATGAACAGCTGTTAGAATGTACAGGTGCTGTATTGTACAGGTGTTACAGGGTACAGGTGTTACAGGGTACAGGTGTCACAGGGTACAGGCGTTGTATGGTGCAGGTGTTGTATGGTACCGGTGTTGTATGGTACATGTGTTGTATGGTACATGTGTTACAGGGTACAGGTGTTGTATGGTACAGGTGTTGTATGGTACAGGTGTTACAGGGTACAGGTGTTGTAAGATACAGGTGTTGTATGGTACAGGTGTTACAGGGTACAGGTGTCACAGGGTACAGGTGTTACAGTGTGTTGGGCGGTGTGTGTGTGGCGGTGTGTGTGTGTGTGTGGGGAGCGGTGTGCGTGGGGCGGTGTGTGTGTGTGGGGGGGGGGGGGGCGGTGTGTGTGTTGGGGGGGGGCGGTGCGTGTGGGGGGGGTGTGGGGGGGCGGTGTGTGTGGGGGGGCGGTGTGTGGGGGGGGGGGGCGGCGGTGTGTGTGTGTGTTTAACAGTGGGGAGTGGTAGTGTAGCGGTTAGCGCGCTGCGCTATGAACCTGGCGACCCGGGTTCGATTCCCGCTCACGGCCAACACCAAGTGACGATTATCTGAACCGGTCCCGGGCCTCCCCTAGGTCGACTCAGCCTCAAATGAGTACCTGGTGCGGTGTGTAAACATTGCCACTAGGGAGACAAAGGCGGTCGGGCGTGGTGCTGGCCACCCCCTCCCCCCCTCGTGTACCGTTCCGGCCTTCATAGGTGCTCGCTAACAGCACTTGTCCCTACAGTCTGTTAAGGCTATACGGGGGATCTTTGATCTTTGTGTTTAACAGCAGAGGTCTCACTCCGAATCAGTCGAGCGGCAATATCTTTTCATCGGTTGCGTAACGCTGTGTGGAAGCTACCTGGTCTGTCGCTCCGCACTATGCTTCAGGTCTTCTCGGCCACGGTAATTCTCTCCCTTCTCTACGCTTGCGAAACGTGGTCCCCCCTAATGGAACATCTTCGCCAGTTAGAAACATTTAGGCTGGCCTGCCTACGATCCATCCTGGGTTTAACCAGGCTGGATTGTTTGAGCTCACAAATCCTTGAAAGATCTGGGTAAGGTCCCATCGATGAGCTCCTCCGGCAGGCAAGGCTGCGTTGGCTGGGTCATGTAGCCCGCATGCCCAGCCACCGCATGCCGAAACAGCTTTTGTTCGGCCGGATCGAGGGGGAAAAACGGGCGAAGCACGGGCTAGAGAAGAGATGGAGTGATGTGGTACAGGAGGACGTGGAGCTGAGTGGACTTGCCGATGACTGGTACCAGCGGTGTCAAGATCGGCCTCTGTGGAGGAGGCTCGTGAAGGACGCTTCTGGGCAGTTGGAGGAAGTCGCCCTCCAACAACAACGGAGGGAGGAGGAGCGACGCTCACAACAACGAGCGGAGCGCCGGGTGGCTAAAGCACAGCAGATTGGCACAGTAGGGGGCACAGGTGGTGCATCAGCCAGTCATCTTAGTCATCTCAGTCGACCCGTGGCACCTGGGTCTGCCCCGTGACCTCCTGCCAGCGGGCGTTCGACACTTCACGTGGCCTCAAGGTGCACATGGCCTGGCACAAGCGTCGTGGTGACGTCACCGCCACTTAGTGGCGAATGGCGGTTGTTGTTGTGTGTCGGTGTGTGTGTGTGGGGGGGAGCGGCGTACAGAGTCGCGGCTGAATGTTTTGGATGCGGTCCCAGATGTGTGTGCGGGCATGAGGCTAATTGTTCGCGTGATGGAAGCGCCTCCGATGGAACGCGACGTTGCGCTTAAAACGGCGTGGAAACAATGAGCGCGATTTAAAGCGCGGCGCTTGAATGTTCAGCAGCAGCAGCGGCCACATTAATTATTTATTTATCCCCCCACCCACCTCCTCCCCTCCCCCCTCCCAGAGGCCTAAAATGGCCATCCTGAAATGAAGTAATTCATTAATGATTTAACGAAGTCAAAAGCTGGGAGAACCCCAGTCGACTTTTATTCCTATTCGGTGGAACGTTTCGGGGGCGAACCCACGTGGGACGTGCGTTTCTGAAAATCGGGGGGTTGTTCGTTTGTTAGTTTAAAAAAAACCTGAAAACCACGCCGGGCGGCCGGCAACAACCAGCACTGCCGAAGCTCGATGCTACTCTAGAATTGGTGTGCAAAAAAAATGTATAATTGGTGATTGGCGATTTTTATTTTTTTAAACGGGAAGACGAAGTTAAAAGGTTCCCCGTATAACCTACACAAGGTGTCAGGGCAAGTGCTGTTGGCGAGCAGCGCCTATGAAGGCCAGGGGTTGGTTTAGATTCGTGCTTTTTGTTAGAAATCGCGGTGGCTGGGCACAGGGCCCAAAGGTGCGACACGGCCAGCACCGGGCAGCACCGGTTAGGGTGTAAGTACAGAATGTTTGTTGGATTGAGCGAGGTGGTGAGAACTGGGGGAGGGAGGGTGGGAGGATGAGATGGGAGGGTGGGGGGTGGGAGCTCAATGGTGGAGCGGCGGGGAGAGGCACTCATGGAGCTCCCGTCCCTCTCCACCACCACCACTCAACCCCCTCTTCTTCCTCTTCTGGGATCCCTCGTAGCCTTCATTTCCCTCCAGGTGCCACTTCTCCGTGTTGTGAGCTTGGCCTGGCTGCCCATGGGTCCGGAGATGGCTGACATCGGCCAATCCGTGACCTGCAGATCTTGGCACAGTGGGGGGCAGGGATGGTCCATCCTGGAGCTCCCCCACTCGTCTCTGGTGGGTGGTGCTCTGCGGAGTGCTCTTTCCCTGGCTACGACAACCACCATCACAACCACCACCACTTAACCACTACGTCACCATCACCGTTCAATTTTCATCACCACCACCGCTCAACCGCCATCACCGCCACTCGGTCACTACTACCACAATCACCACCACGCAACCACTAACCCACTACCACCACCGCTCAACCACTACTACCACAATCACCACCACTCGTGGGGAGGGAGGGGCTGTGAATTTTTTTTGGGGAGGAGGGGGGGGCGGTGTGGGATGGGATCACAGGCGCGGCAGCAGCGCTCGCCTCTAATGATGTCGCTGTCAGCTCCTCTCGGCCTCTCTGACGTGATCGTCACTAATTGATGTCACGGCTAATAAATCCACGCGGGCCGCGCCCGGGTCCATGAGAGAAACCGCGCCGCCACCCTGCACCCCCAACCCCGTGTGCCCCCCCCATCGCCCCCCACCCCCCACCCACCCCCCTCGCTTTGGCCGAAACTCGAAGCGAGATTTTTCACGTCGCACGCAGCCAACCGTAGCCGCTGGCCCTCACCGCGAACTCTGACCCCAACCGTAAATCCTGACTCTAACCCCCCCCCCATCTCACTCACGACAACCATCATCACCTCTAACGTAGAGCCCTCACCCGGACTCTAACCCCAGCCCCGATGCTAACCTTAAACCTCACTCTTACCCCAATCCTAACTTGATTGAACCCCAACTCGAACTCTAACCCTGCACTTAACTCTCAACTCGAACTCTAACCCTGCACTTAACTCTCAACTCGAAGTTATCGTTAAGGCCACCGCTCAGGCATTCACACCAACCTGTGACCCTAAAACTAACCCAACTACTACCCTAAACCTAACCCAAACGATAGCCATAACACTAAACTTAACCCAACTACAACCCTAAACCTAACCCAAACGATAGCCATAACACTAAACTTAAACCAACCACAACCCTAAACCTAATGCAACCTATAACCCCTGACCCATCACCCCAAACCCAACCCAAACTAAAGCCTGAACCCTTAACCCCGACTCTAAACCCCCGAGTGCCACCGCCCCCTCGTGCGCCGTGGACGGCAGCGGCCGCCCCAGGGCTCCACAGGAGGCCAAGCGGTGGGTCCCGAGTGCTCCGTGGGAAATTCCACAGCGCCATGGCGGGTACCGGTCAAAAGCCCCCCAAAGACCACCGCAGACTTCCAGAAAAAAAGCGACTCTCACTCCCGTTTAATCAACCCGAGGAGACGCAGGAGTCGCGAGAGGGCGGTGGTGACCACGTCGCTGCTGCACGCGGCCGCCTGTAGTCCCGGCGCTGTGTGGAGGCAGCAGCGGGGCGTTGGTGGACCACACACGGATGTCGTTTGCGAAACTCCCTTCCTTCCCGTGGGCGTCGAGGAGGAGCCGTCGTACCCCCTGGCTCTGCCAGGAGATGGCGGTTACAGCAAATGTGGACTCCCACCTCTGTACGGGATAGAGTGTTTCTCCCTCGCATGCGTGGGTTTTCTCTCCGGGAGCTGCGGTTTTCTTCCACGTTAATTGGCCGATAACACCTTGATATCGAGCGGACCTTTGAGCTTGGGCAAAGAGAGGGTCTCTTCACGAGGAGGAGCTTGAGAGAGAGAGAGGAACTCTCCAGAGTCCCACTGGAGAGTCCCTCCAGAGTCCCTCCAGAGAGAGGAACTCTCCAGAGAGTACCTCTCTAGTCTCTAAAAATATCCCTCGAGAGAGAGGAACTCTCTACAGAGAGCTCCAGCACGCACAGCGCCAGCAGCACGCACAGCGCCAGCACAGCAGCACACACAGCAGCACGCACAGCAGCACGCACAGCAGCACGCACAGCACCACACACAGCACCACACACAGCACCACACACAGCACCACACACAGCACCACACACAGCACCACACACAGCACCACACACAGCAGCACACACAGCACCACACACAGCACCACACACAGCGCCAGCACCACGCACAGCAGCACGCACAGCACCACGCACAGCACCACACACAGCACCACACACAGCACCACACACAGCACCACACACAGCACCACACACAGCACCACACACAGCACCACACACAGCACCACACACAGCACCACACACAGCACCACACACAGCAGCACACACAGCACCACACACAGCACCACACACAGCGCCAGCACCACGCACAGCAGCACGCACAGCACCACGCACAGCACCACACACAGCACCACACACAGCACCACACACAGCACCACACACAGCACCACACACAGCACCACACACAGCACCACACACAGCACCACACACAGCAGCACACACAGCTCCAGCACAGCACCAGCAGCACGGGGCTCGACGACGTGCAGGGTCGGTGCGTGGGGTATCGGCGCACCGCGCAGCGCCGTCCACGCACGACCCACAGGGCCCCGCGGAGTCGCCCCCACCCCCCATCCCCCGCGCAAGCCATCGTCCACGCGTCCGTCAGCCGCTGGCGCCGCTCAGCTCGGCGCGCAGGGAGCAAGTGTCACAGCCCAGCAGCAGCAGCGGCGGCGGTGGCGGGGGAGAGCCCCCCCCCTCGCCCCCCCCCTCGCCCCCCCGTGCCCCCCGCACCTCGGCGGCGCTCACGGTGAAGAGGCCGCCGCACCGGCACGGCCGGGACGCCTCCAACTGGTCTGCTCACACGGGGATACGTGGGGACACGCGGGGAGACGAAGGGGAGAAGTGGGGAGGCCTGGTCAGATATGCAGACACGCTGAGACACGCTGAGACACGCTGGGACACGCTGAGACACGCTGGGACACGCTGAGACACGCTGGGACATGGTAAGACACTGAGACAAGCTGGGACATGCTGGGACGCGGTGGGACGCGGTGGGACATGGTGGGACACGGTGAGACACTGAGACATGCTAAGACATGCTGAGACACACTGAGACACGCTGAGATACGCTGGGACACGCTGGGACATGGTAAGACACTGAGACACGCTAAGACATGCTGAGACACGCTGAGACATGCTGAGACACGCTGGGACATGGTGAGACACGCTAAGACACGGGGACATGGAAATGGGCTGTCCGTACCGTCGTCCCAGTCCATGTCGTCAATGGAGAAGCTGTCCTGGATGGGACCCTCCTGCTGCAGGGCCCTGTCTGACGGGAGAGGGGACCGGTTAGCGCGTGTCTACGCGTGTACGGGCACACGCGTGTACGGGCACACGCGTGTACGGGCACACGTGTGTCCACGTGTACGGGCGCGTGCGTGAGTGTGGGGAGCGGTGGTTCAGTGGTTGGCGCGTTGCGCTACGAACCCGGCGGCCGCGGTTCTATTCCCCTTCATGGCCAACATCGGCAAAAGAATATCTGAACTGGCCCTGGGCCTGCCGTAGGTCGACCTTGTGCGGTGTGTAAATATCACCACTGGGGAGACAAAGGCGGACGGGCGTGGTATTGGTCACTCACCCCCTTGTGTGCCATAGCGCTAGGCTTCATAGGTGGCTCCTCGCTAACAGCACTTGCCCCAACAGTCTGTTAAGGCTACAACGAGGGGGGAATCTTCGTGGTGTCTCACACCTCGTGCACGCAGGTCGTGCTCTCTGCGCGTCTCCGCGTCTCCCAGCGTCCTCCACGCACGCTCCACCTCCAGGAAGCGCCGGAGTTGCTCCTCACGCTCACCCTCGCCCAGGCCCTGGGCCGCTCGGTCCGGGTGCAGCTACGCGGTGGGTGGGGGGGGGTCAGAGGTCGCGGGCGGACACACGCTGCAGTCAGAGGTTGCAGGTGGACACACACGCGGGGGTCAGAGGTCACGAGCGAACACACATGCGCAGGGGTCAGAGGTCGCGGGTGGACACACATGCGTGGGGGTCAGAGGTTGCGGGCAGATACACACGCACGGGCCGTCGAGAGCCTCACTCATCCGTTAGTTCGTTCAATATCCCTACTCGATCGTCGACTCAGTCCGCTCTTTGACAATCATTCCCCGGCATACGAGGGAAAGGCTCGCACGTTCGCCTGTGCACTCACCCATTCGCTCACTCAATCATTCATTGATTCAAAAATTATTTCATGTAATCACTCAATCGTTTATTGATTCAATAATACACATCATTACTTATTCAATGGCTCACTCACTCATTCATTTTACTCACCTACTCCCCAACAAATGATCTCAAAGCCATCAACGGCGGTCGCGGGAGCTGGCAGCGGCGATCGCGAGCTCGGGAGGCCGAGCGGAGCGTCGCTCCGGGGCCCCCCCCCACACCCCCCCCCCACAATGGCCCCTCCCCCCACACCTCCCCACACACCGCCGCCCCCCCCCGACTCGTTAACCGGCAAACGCCGAGGTGCGACGGCACAAGAGCGGTGCCGGCGATCGATGGATCGATAGCTGGCGCGCCAGACTCGACGGTGGTTTTCGCACGTCCGATAATTAAACACCCCCCCCCTCCCCTCCTCCCTCCTTCCACCTCCACCACCTCCTCCTCCACCTCCTCCACCTCTTCCCACCCCCACGGTCCCCCACCAGCTCAGATCCACCACCTGCTTGCTCCAACCTTTGGGCTCGGTTCAGTTTTGGGTTTTTGATTCGTTTTATCCTCAATGCTTCCCAACCAGATCGGCGGTTCCCAGCGTCGTCGTCACCTTGATTTGTTTGATTATTTTTTTACTTATCAGTTTGTTTATGTGTAAGTTTGTTTGTTGGGTTGTTTATTTGTTGGCTTGTTTATTTCTCAGTTTATTTGTTGGTTCGTTTGTTTAAACTCCATGTGCACGTAACTGCCAGTGTTGTTGCGAGCAGGCTGAGATTCTTCAACCGATGACACAGAAGCACCCAGTCTAATGACAACTCGGTCTGGACAAGTCAACGCGTCTCCTGGAGAGAGAGACTGAGCAGACCGTTAACTCTCGCAACTTCAGAAAATGGTCCCATCACAACTCAGTCTGTGCGAGTCAGTGGGTCTCTATGCGAGGAGTCTATGGGTCTCTATGCGAGGAGTCTATGGGTCTCTATGCGAGGAGTCTATGAGTCTCTATGCAATGAGTCTATGGGTCTCGATGCAAGTCTAAGGGGTCTCTATGCAAGGAGTCTATGGGTCTCTATGCGAGGAGTCTATGAGTCTCTATGCAAGGAGTCTATGGGTCTCTATGCGAGGAGTCTATGGGTCTCTATGCGAGGAGTCTATGGGTCTCTATGCGAGGAGTCTATGGGTCTCTATGCGAGGAGTCTATGGGTCTCTATGCGAGGAGTCTATGGGTCTCTATGCGAGGAGTCTATGAGTCTCTATGCAAGGAGTCTATGGGTCTCGATGCAAGTCTAAGGGGTCTCTATGCAAGGAGTCTATGGGTCTCTACGCGAGGAGTCTATGAGTCTCTATGCAAGGAGTCTATGGGTCTCTATGCGAGGAGTCTATGGGTCTCTATGCGAGGAGTCTATGGGTCTCTATGCGAGGAGTCTATGGGTCTCTATGCGAGGAGTCTATGAGTCTCTATGCGAGGAGTCTATGGGTCTCTATGCGAGGAGTCTATGGGTCTCTATGCGAGGAGTCTATGGGTCTCTATGCGAGGAGTCTATGGGTCTCTATGCGAGGAGTCTATGGGTCTCTATGCGAGGAGTCTATGGGTCTATATGCGAGGAGTCTATGGGTCTCTATGCGAGGAGTCTATGGGTCTCTATGCGAGGAGTCTATGGGTCTATATGCGAGTAGTCTATGGGTCTCGATGCAAGTCTAAGGGGTCTCTATGCGAGGAGTCTATGGGTCTCTATGCGAGGAGTCTATGGGTCTCTATGCAAGGAGTCTATGGGTCTCTATGCTAGGAGTCTATGGGTCTCTATGCGAGGAGTCTATGGGTCTCTATGCGAGGAGTCTATGGGTCTCTATGCGAGGAGTCTTTGGGTCTCTATGCGAGGAGTCTATGGGTCTCTATGCGAGGAGTCTATGGGTCTCTATGCGAGGAGTCTATGGGTCTCTATGCGAGGAGTCTATGGGTCTCTATGCGAGGAGTCTATGGGTCTCGGTGCGAGGAGTCTATGGGTCTCTATGCGAGGAGTCTATGGGTCTCTATGCGAGGAGTCTATGAGTCTCTATGCGAGGAGTCTATGGGTCTCTATGCGAGGAGTATATGGGTCTCTATGCGAGGAGTCTATGGGTCTCTATGCTAGGAGTCTATGGGTATCTATGCGAGGAGTCTATGGGTCTCTATGCGAGGAGTCTTTGGGTCTCTATGCGAGGAGTCTATGGGTCTCTATGCGAGGAGTCTATGGGTCTCTATGCGAGGAGTCTATGGGTCTCTATGCGAGGAGTCTATGAGTCTCTATGCAAGGAGTCTATGGGTCTCTATGCGAGGAGTCTATGGGTCTCTATGCGAGGAGTCTATGGGTCTCTATGCGAGGAGTCTATGGGTCTCTATGCGAGGAGTCTATGGGTCTCTATGCGACGAGTCTATGGGTCTATATGCGAGGAGTCTATGGGTCTCTATGCGAGGAGTCTATGGGTCTCTATGCGAGGAGTCTATGGGTCTATATGCGAGTAGTCTATGGGTCTCGATGCAAGTCTAAGGGGTCTCTATGCGAGGAGTCTATGGGTCTCTATGCGAGGAGTCTATGGGTCTCTATGCAAGGAGTCTATGGGTCTCTATGCTAGGAGTCTATGGGTCTCTATGCGAGGAGTCTATGGGTCTCTATGCGAGGAGTCTTTGGGTCTCTATGCGAGGAGTCTATGGGTTTCTATGCGAGGAGTCTATGGGTCTCTATGCGAGGAGTCTATGGGTCTCTATGCGAGGAGTCTATGGGTCTCTATGCGAGGAGTCTATGGGTCTCTATGCGAGGAGTCTATGGGGTCTCGGTGCGAGGAGTCTATGGGTCTCTATGCGAGGAGTCTATGGGTCTCTATGCGAGGAGTCTATGAGTCTCTATGCGAGGAGTCTATGGGTCTCTATGCGAGGAGTATATGGGTCTCTATGCGAGGAGTCTATGGGTCTCTATGCTAGGAGTCTATGGGTATCTATGCGAGGAGTCTATGGGTCTCTATGCGAGGAGTCTTTGGGTCTCTATGCGAGGAGTCTATGGGTCTCTATGCGAGGAGTCTATGGTCTCTATGCGAGGAGTCTATGGGTCCTCTATGCGAGGAGTCTATGGGTCTCTATGCGAGGAGTCTATGGGTCTCTATGCGAGGAGTCTATGGGTCTCGGTGCGAGGAGTCTATGGGTCTCTGTGCGAGGAGTCTATGGGTCTCTATGCGAGGAGTCTATGAGTCTCTATGCGAGGAGTCTATGGGTCTCTATGCGAGGAGTATATGGGTCTCTATGCGAGGAGTCTATGGGTCTCTATGCGAGGAGTCTATGGGTCTCTATGCGAGGAGTCTATGGATCTCTATGCGAGGAGTCTATGGATCTCTATGCGAGGAGTCTATGGGTCTCTATGCTAGGAGTCTATGGGTCTCTATGCGAGGAGCCTATGGGTCTCTATGCGAGGAGTCTTTGGGTCTCTATGCGAGGAGTCTATGGGTCTCTATGCGAGGAGTCTATGGGTCTCTATGCGAGGAGTCTATGGGTCTCTATGCGAGGAGTCTATGGGTCTCTATGCGAGGAGTCTATGGGTCTCTATGCGTGGAGGCTATGGGTCTCTATGCGAGGAGTCTATGGGTCTCTATGCGTGGAGTCTATGGGTCTCTATGCGTGGAGTCTATGGGTCTCTATGCGAGGAGTCTATGGGTCTCTATGCGAGGAGTCTATGGGTCTCTATGCGAGGAGTCTATGGGTCTCTATGCGAGGAGTCTATGGGTCTCTATGCGAGGAGTCTATGGGTCTCTATGCGAGGAGTCTATGGGTCTCTATGCGAGGAGTCTATGGGTCTCTATGCGAGGAGTCTATGGGTCTCTATGCGAGGAGTCTATGGGTCTCTATGCGAGCAGTCTATGGGTCTCTATGCGAGGAGTCTTTGGGTCTCTATGCGAGGAGTCTATGGGTCTCTATGCGAGGAGTCTATGGGTCTCTATGCGAGGAGTCTATGGGTCTCGGTGCGCCCACTGCCCCTGGCTCAATCAAATGCTGCCCTCACGTGGACCCCGAGTGGAACTGTAGCGACACTTCAAGTCGGTTGCCCCGGCTACAGGGACAGACGACTTCTTCCGCGGGCACGGACTGGGTGTTAAGTTGCGAGCGACGTGGCGACGCGTCGTTTACAACTGGGGCAGTAGAAATCACGGGGGGGGGGGGGGGCGGGGGTGAAGGAGGGGGCGGGGAGTGATCTAGGTACAGTCATGGAGACAGAGACAAATAGGCAGGCCGAGAGAATGAGACACGGGGAGATGCAGGAACCACGGCGAGCCACGGGGAGATGCAAAGAGCCACAGGGATACGCAGGGAGCCACGGGGAGACACAGGGAGCCACGGTGAGACACAGGGAGTCTCGGGGAGACACAGGGAGCCACAGGGAGACAGGGAGCCACGGTGAGACACAGGGAGTCTCGGGGAGACACAGAGAGCCACGGGGAGACACAGGGAGTCTTGGGGAGACGCAGGGAGTCTTGGGGAGACACAGAGAACCACAGGGAGACGCAGGGAGCCACAGGGAGTCGCAGGGAGCCACGGGGAGACACAGAGAGTCTCGGGGAGACACAGAGAGCCACAGGGAGTCTTGGGGAGACACAGAGAGCCACAGGGAGTCTTGGGGAGACACAGAGAGCCACAGAGAGCCACAGGGAGTCTTGGGGAGACACAGGGAGTCTTGGGGAGACGCAGGGAGTCTTGGGGAGACGCAAGGAGACGCAGGGAGCCACGGGGAGACACAGAGAGTCTCGGGGAGACACAGAGAGCCACAGGGAGTCTTGGGGAGACACAGAGAGCCACAGGGAGTCTTGGGGAGACACAGAGAGCCACAGAGAGCCACAGGGAGTCTTGGGGAGACACAGGGAGTCTTGGGGAGACGCAGGGAGTCTTGGGGAGACGCAAGGAGACGCAGGGAGCCACGGTGACCCCACCTGCCGCACGAGCTCCTGGTATCGGCGTCGCAGGGCTCTGGGTGAGTCGCTGCGAGAAGCTCCGAGCACGGAGTACGGCTCCAGCCCCTCCACTCGGCCCGGGTCGCCCATCCTCGCTCCTCTTCCGCTGCTGCCCACGGAGAGCGGCGTGAAGAGCGCGTGCCGCGGCGGCAGCCCCACGGGCAACTGGACGGGCAACGTGGAACAAAAATCCACCGTTGTCATTCAGCGGAGGCAAGCCGCTCTCTCTCGAGATAAGTCGGTGGGCCCAGGACGTTTAGGAGGATTCGGCTACTGCTGTACATTTGCACGCGATGATGATGACGATGAGCCACTACGTTGAGCTATTTGTGATGGCCAGGTCGCTTCTGAAACGGAGCTACGTAGCAGCTCAATGGGCCTTGCCGGGTAAAATGACACACACACACAAAAACACAACACGTATACTGTATACCTCTTCTGGCGATAAAACAGTTGTGTTCAGATGTCCAAACACTAAATAGAAACCCTTTGTAAGGTCTCGACTCTGCATTAACCACGCACAGTACTTGTAAGTGAACATGCAATCAAACGCCATGCTCTGACAATAATAATGATGACAGATGATGCGTCGACTTTGAAACCGATTGGTTCACACCAGAGACAGCGACCTTCTCTAGGGCCCGGTCTGGAACGGTGGCGAGCAGCTGCAGCCGAGTGGGAGTGGTGCCGGTTGAGCGAGTCTGTTTGGGAGAGATAAGCGGAGGAGGCCTCTCATCCAGCAGTGGATCGAGCGTGACCGACCGGCGACGACGACGACGATGATGATGATTACAATCAGATTCTGAATCACGAGACGGCGATTAAGACAATGGCACCGTTGCGATGATGACGATCCTGCGATGTTGATGATGATGCTATGATGATGCTGTTGATGATGATGCTGTTGATGCTGTTGATGATGATGATGCTGTTGATGAAGCTGTTGTTGATTATGCTGTTGGTGTTGTTGATGCTGTTGATGATGATGCTGTTGTGGATGAGGATGATGCTGTTGTTGTTGATGATGTTGATGATGTTGATGATGATGCTGTTGTGAATGGCGATGATGCTGTTGTTATTGATGCTGTTAATGATGCTGTTGTGGATGATGATGCTGTTTTTGTTGATGATGCAGTTGTTCATGCTGTTACGTTGTTGTTGTTGATGTTACACATCCGCCCGAGTCAATGACGACAGTGAGCTGGGTGTACATCACCACGGTGATGGAGACGCCGCTCACGAAGCCGACGCCGGTGCTGCTGCTGCTGCGTTAGCGCCCCAAGCACAGCCAACAACCCCAACGCCTTCGTCAAAGGCACCAACCACTCTGTGTGCGTGCGCAACCTATAGTGAACTTCTTTCACACCGTACGTAGCCAACCGCGGTCATAGGAGCCGCGACGCTGTGCGGAATACAACAGGTGACGTTTCGGGCGGTGGGCCTTGTTCATGGCACACGATTGGGTCGATGGGGTTAAGACCGCGCGTCTCCTTACCCCGCTCCCTTCGTTTCGTCTTCCTTGGTCCCACAAGCTCCGTACCCCGATAGAGGGGGTCCCAGATCCCCGATAGAGGGGTCCCAGATCCCCGATAGAGGGGGTCCCAGATCCCCTAAGGGGGAGTCCCAGATCCCCGAGAGATGGTCTCAGACCCCCCTACAGAGATAGTTCCAAATCCCCTAGAGATGGTCTCAGATCCCCTAAGGGGGAGTCCCAGATCCCCGAGAGATGGTCTCAGACCCCCCCCCCCCCCCCCCCCCCCCCCCCCCCCCCCCCAGAGAAAAGGGGGTCCTGGGAATCCCCTGTTTTGGGGTTGGAACCTCCGCGGCTTTCCCATCCGCGGCGCGCCTCCTCGCGTCACTCACAACACGTGCGCCGCTTCCGGGTTCCGTCACAGATCCGGAAGAGGCGCTGACTCCTTCTCCTCCTCCACCACCACCCCCTCCTCCCCTCCCATCACCAACCCCACCCCCTCCTCCCCTCCCATCACCAACCCCACCCCCTCCTCCCCTCCCACCCCCCACCCCCTCCTCCCCTCCTACCCCCACCCCCCTCCTCCCCTCCCACCCCCACCCCCACCCCCTCCTCCCACCCCCACCCCCCTCCTCCCACCCCCTCCTCCCCTCCCACCCCCTCCTCCCCTCCCACCCCCACCCCCTCCTCCCCTCCCACCACCACCCCCAATGGCGACACCGGTCGATGTTTGTTGCTCTCCCGAGCCGGGACGAGGAACAAGTAAAACACTCGGGCCGCTCACGTGCGTGGGCCACGGTCAGGGGCCCGCGGTAATGTGACAGCGTGGCACGGTGGTGGTGTCTGTTAGAAGCGTTTAGAGACGTGGGTTTAGACTGCATTTAGAGACATGGGTTTAGACCATTTAGTGACATGGGTTTAGACCATTTAGAGACGTGGGTTTAGACCATTTAGAGACGTGGGTTTAGACCATTTAGAGACATGGGTTTAGACCATTTAGTGACATGGGTTTAGACCATTTAGAGACGTGGGTTTAGACTGCATTTAGAGACATGGGTTTAGACCATTTAGTGACATGGGTTTAGACCATTTAGAGACGTGGGTTTAGACCATTTAGAGACGTGGGTTTAGACCATTTAGAGACGTGGGTTTAGACCATTTAGAGACATGGGTTTAGACCATTTAGAGACATGGATTAAGACCATTTAGAGACATGGGTTTAGACCATTTAGTGACATGGGTTTAGACCATTTAGAGACGTGGGTTTAGACCATTTAGAGACGTGGGTTTAGACAAATTAGAGACGTGGGTTTAGACCATTTAGAGACGTGGGTTTAGACTGCGTTTAGAGATGTGGGTTTAGACCATTTAGAGACATGGGTTTAGACTATTTAGAGACATGGGTTTAGACCATTTAGAGTCATGGGTTTAGACTGCGTTTAGAGACATGGGTTTAGACTGCGTTTAGAGACGTGGGTTTCGGCCATTTAGAGACATGGATTTAGACCATTTAGAGACGTGGATTTAGACCATTTAGAGACGTGGGTTTAGACCATTTAGAGACATGGGTTTAGACCATTTAGAGACATGGGTTTAGGCCATTTAGAGACATGGGTTTAGACCATTTAGTGACGTGGGTTTAGACCATTTAGAGACATGGGTTTAGACCATTTAGAGACATGGGTTTAGACTGCGTTTAGAGACATGGGTTTAGACTGCATTTAGAGACGTGGGTTTAGACTGCGTTTAGAGACGTGGATTTAGACCATTTAGAGACATGGGTTTAGACCATTTAGATTGTATTTAGACCATTTGGATTGCATTTAGAGACATGGGTTTAGGCCATTTAGAGACGTGGGTTTAGACTATTTAGATTGCATTTAGAGACATGGGTTTAGGCCATTTAGATTGCATTTAGAGACGTGGGTTTAGACCATTTAGAGACATGGGTTTAGACCATTTAGAGACGTGGGTTTAGACCATTTAGAGACGTGGGTTTAGACCATTTAGAGACGGGTTTAGACCATTTAGAGACGTGGGTTTAGACCATTTAGAGACGTGGGTTTAGACCATTTAGATTGCATTTAGAGACATGGGTTTAGGTCATTTAGATTGCATTTAGAGACGTGGGTTTAGACCATTTAGAGACGTGGGTTTAGACTATTTAGATTGCATTTAGAGACATGGGTTTAGGCCATTTAGATTGCATTTAGAGACGTGGGTTTAGACCATTTACAGACGTGGGTTTAGACCATTTAGTGAGATGGGTTTAGACCATTTAGAGACGTGGGTTTAGACCATTTAGAGACATGGGTTTAGGCCATTTAGAGACATGGGTTTAGACCATTTAGTGACATGGGTTTAGACCATTTAGATTGCATTTAGAGACATGAGTTTAGGCCATTTAGATTGCATTTAGAGACGTGTTTAGACCATTTAGATTGCATTTAGTGACGTGGGTTTAGACTATTTAGATTGCATTTAGACCATTTAGATTGCATTTAGACTATTTAGATTACATTTAGAGACGTGGGTTTAGACCATTTAGATTGTATTTAGAGACATGGGTTTAGACCATTTAGATTGCATTTAGAGACATGGGTTTAGACCATTTAGATTGTATTTAGAGACATGGGTTTGGACCATTTAGATTGTATTAGAGACATGGGTTTAGGCCATTTATATTGCATTTAGAGACGTGGGTTTAGACCATTTAGAGACATGGGTTTAGACCATTTAGACACATGGGTTTAGGCCATTTCGAGACATGGGTTTAGACCATTTAGTGACATGAGTTTAGACCATTTAGATTGCATTTAGAGACATGGGTTTAGACCATTTAGATTGCATTTAGAGACATGGGTTTAGACTATTTAGATTGCATTTAGAGACGTGTTTAGACCATTTAGATTGCATTTAGTGACGTGGGTTTAGACCATTTAGAGACGTGGGTTTAGACCATTTAGAGACGTGGGTTTAGACCATTTAGATTGCATTTAGAGACATGGCTTTAGGCCATTTAGATTGCATTTAGAGACATGAGTTTAGACCATTTAGAGACATGGGTTCAGGCCATTTAGAGACATGGGTTTAGACCATTTAGTGACATGGGTTTAGACCATTTAGATTGCATTTAGAGACATCAGTTTAGACCATTTAGATTGCATTTAGAGACGTGTTTAGACCATTTAGATTGCATTTAGTGACGTGGGTTTAGACTATTTAGAATGCATTTAGACCATTTAGATTGCATTTAGAGACGTGGGTTTAGACCATTTAGATTGTATTTAGAGACCAGGGTTTAGACCATTTAGATTGCATTTAGAGACATGGGTTTAGACCATTTAGATTGCATTTAGAGACATGGGTTTAGACCATTTAGATTGTATTTAGAGACATGGGTTTAGGCCATTTATATTGCATTTAGAGACGTGGGTTTAGACCATTTATAGACATGGGTTTAGACCATTTAGACACATGGGTTTAGGCCATTTCGAGACATGGGTTTAGACCATTTAGTGACATGGGTTTAGACCATTTAGATTGCATTTAGAGACATTGGTTTAGACCATTTAGATTGCATTTAGAGACATGGGTTTAGACTATTTAGATTGCATTTAGAGATGTGTTTACACCATTTAGATTACATTTAGTGACATGGGTTTAGACTATTTAGATTGCATTTAGAGACATGCGTTTAGACTATTTAGATTGCATTTAGACCATTTAGATTGCATTTAGAGACGTGGGTTTAGACCATTTAGATTGTATTTAGAGACATGGGTTTAGACCATTTAGATTGCATTTAAAGACATGGGTTTAGACCATTTAGATTGTATTTAGAGACATGGGTTTAGACCATTTAGATTGTATTTAGAGACATGGGTTTAGGCCATTTATATTGCATTTAGAGACGTGGGTTTAGACCATTTAGAGACATGGGTTTAGACCATTTAGACACATGGGTTTAGGCCATTTTGAGACATGGGTTTAGACCATTTAGTAGCATGGGTTTAGACCATTTAGATTGCATTTAGAGACATGGGTTTAGACTTTTTAGATTGCATTTAGAGACATGGGTTTAAGCCATTTAGATTGCATTTAGAGACGTGGGTTTAGACCATTTAGAGACGTGGGTTTAGACCATTTAGTGACATGGGTTTAGACCATTTAGAGACATGGGTTTAGACCATTTAGATTGCATTTAGAGACATGGCTTTAGGCCATTTAGATTGCATTTAGAGACGTGGCTTTAGACCATTTAGAGACATGGGTTTAGGCCATTTAAAGACATGGGTTTAGACCATTTAGTGACATGGGTTTAGACCATTTAGATTGCATTTAGAGACATGAGTTTAGACCATTTAGATTGCATTTAGAGACGTGTTTAGACCATTTAGATTGCATTTAGTGACGTGGGTTTAGACTATTTAGTTTGCATTTAGACCATTTAGATTGCATTTAGAGACGTGGGTTTAGACCATTTAGATTGTATTTAGAGACATGGGTTTAGACCATTTAGATTGCATTTAGCGACATGGGTTTAGACCATTTAGATTGTATTTAGAGACATGGGTTTAGACCATTTAGATTGTATTTAGAGACATGGCTTTAGGCCATTTATATTGCATTTAGAGACGTGGGTTTAGACCATTTAGAGACATGGGTTTAGACCATTTAGACACATGGGTTTAGGCCATTTCGAGACATGGGTTTAGACCATTTAGTGACATGGGTTTAGACCATTTAGATTGCATTTAGAGACATGGGTTTAGACCATTTAGATTGCATTTAGAGACATGGGTTTAGACTATTTAGATTGCATTTAGACACGTGTTTACACCATTTAGATTACATTTAGTGACGTGGGTTTAGACTATTTAGATGGCATTTAGACCATTTAGATTGCATTTTGACTATTTAGATTGCATTTAGAGACATGGGTTTAGACCATTTCGATTATTTTGCTGATATAAATGTCTAAATGATTTGCTCACTTTGTTGAGCTCTCATTTGCCGCTTTTGAAAAACAAGTTAATACCTCCAGTGGGGCTTTGGTAGGATGGGGATGGCCGAGTTGTATTTGTGTTGGGTCATTTTTTTACTTTTCCTGTACTTTGCACTCCGATCGTTTTTGTTGTTGTAACGTCCTTACCCGCCCCCGACTGGCCTTCTGTAGAAAACAAAGAGCTTCAGATCTCATCGAATTCCTCCAGCGTGAATACATATTCCAATTCTGACCCTCGGTATATGTGAAGCGGCATCGTTGAGCGCTGTACGCGATTGCCACGACTTGTAGTCTGTAATAACGGCCTCGAGTCAACATAAAGCAGAAGGGAGTCTAAGGGTGATGAGTCAGGCCGTTGGGCTAAGGTAACCCTAAGGAAGCTCGGGACCACAGGTACAAACCCCCAGACCCCCAGGAAGGCGGCTGGGGGATAACATCACTCCCCAGGCACATTCCAGACAGTTCCAGAAGGGAGGAGTGGCCAGGGGCGGAGTGAGGCAGAATCCGGTATAAAAGACGGTCCCCTAAACGGGTCCGGCGGTCGTCGTTCACCTGAAGACTCAAGAGCCACCCTGGAGCTGCCACCTTGAAAACCCGAAGCGAAGAGCCCAAAGGGCTGAACCCGAACCCCTGGCTAAAGTCGGGCCAAAAGCTTAACCAGTGAAGAGGCTAGAGAATAGGCAGTGTTAGGCAGGCTAGCCAGAGGGAACACCTCCATAAGTATCGGGTGGAAGGGGCCGTACCCCTGCATGTTATTGTTACGTTGTAATAAACGTGCTGCCTCCAGAAGAGTCTCCGCAAGTTGTATACCCACGACACACGTGCTGGCGCTGTGTTCTCCACTCCTCTCCACTAGCCACCGTGTCGGCGAACTTTTGACTCCAAGGGGGTCATTACTGGACCAGACTCCGGCTCGTCATAAAGCTCCGCCCATACTGGACACCTGTTAACAAAGAGCCTCACTGCTAATCGGATTCCTGCTCCCGCAGTCCAAATAAAGGTTCCCATTCCCGAGACACCAGGAGGTGGCGCACCGGGAGCCGCGTGAACAACACGAGACACCAGCAGGAGGAGACATCGCCTCGCTACTTGGGTTGACGGCTCGAGTCCCTATATATCTTCATGAGCTTTGTCAGTTATCTGACCGTACTTCACCACGCTGGTCAGAGTGCCGGTTGTTGGCGGTTTCAGGGCGCGGTCCGCTAGAACAACCGAGTCTCAATGGTGGAAGCCATTGTCAGAATATCAGAATATTACCCACTGTCATGTATATGTATTCATTAACCCCCCCACCCCACCGACTCTGGCCTTCAAACAAGTGCTCACAAGTGACGTCATCACATCTATCCCTCTAAGGAACGAAACTGGATTTCTCCACAAATCTGGCTGTCGCCTGATGATGCCAGTTGTAATTACTGGCAAAACTTCGTGCGCAGATTGTAAATGCTGTGGCTTTACCAACACACCGGTGTGCTGTACTAGTAACGAATTGGCACGTTCGACTTACGTGACAAACCTTACTAATTGGCTGTCGGGTGGTGGCGTGTTTATATTTATGCGATCTAACCCAAAAAAACCTATATTATGGATCAGAATATATTCTTTATACAGGAGGCATGCAATGAGCTATAAAGCTCGTTTTCCCCACTCAGCGTTGCCAATCGCATTTGGCAAGAACTTGCCAAAATTATAATACCCAATTATTATTTTCCGTCATTCACCAGGGCCCGTGCCAACCGCACAGCGAGGCCGTTGCCCAATCAACCGATGCAAAGTCAAAGCCAGAGGTTTCATTAAAACTTTCTTTATAAAAATCATTCATTTCTTTACAAGGTTGAGTTACACAATACTGTACAGAGACTAATTTACATAGTTACAATTAGAGAATGAAGACGCGATGGAGGGGGGGGGGGGGCGGAAAGAGGTCTTGGGGCCAGGTTCGTTCATCACCCCCGACAATTTAAAAAAACAACGCAGAGCGCGTTTTTACAAACTCCCCCCCCCCCTCCCATGCGAAATTCGGAAATTTCAACGCAACAGCAGCACCCGAAAGTCATTCTGCCTCGCGTGAAAGCCGCCACGTGGCTTTCCAACCTGAACATCGATCTCATCCGTTCCTATTCAAGAAGGCCGAGGCAACAAGAATTACATTTACACGTTGATGAAACGGCTGGAGGAAAAAATAATGCCACATTAACTGCTTTTCGCTTACGAGTAGACGCCACCTTTAGTGTTGAGAAGAGACGAGTGGTGCATGTGTAGTAGTGTCCTTCGTTTTGTTCTATGGCGCAAGGGTGCTACACTTTAACAAATAATTACTATACAAGCGTGTTGTTTTTTTCTGGGGGGGGGGGGGGATATCAGAAATGTCACGGAATGCGATAAGCGACGTCGACCATTTGAAAGCGGTGGTGACGACGATCGAGAGAAAGGATGTCGCGATGGTGGGTTGCAACGCGTGCACGGTGGGGGCAAGGAAGGGCAGCCTGCGGAGCGGTCCGTGGGCACAGGCGTAGACCACGAGTGGCCACGCTGGCGGCGCAGATGATGAGACTTGCGAGCGGTGGTTCTTGGTCGAACGCCGTCGACTGTGCGCGTGTGTGACAAGGGGAAGCCCGAGAGCCACGTGGTGGTGACGGGGATGCAAGTTTCATGAAGCCCGCCCATTAACTTCATCGCGACCGCGTGCACGCGCGTTGGTTGAACTTCTTTCGCACCGGACGTAGCCAACCGTGCTAAGTCGGAGGTGCGGTGGAAGGACAACAAACCCAAACACAAGCATGGCGTGAAGGGGGGAACGGTGGCCCCCAGGTGATGCGGAATCGATGGCAACAGCCACGGTGGTGACCCTCTTGACCACGTCGAAAGTTGGAGACGCTTATCGGGCAAAACAAAAATATGTCCGACCAAAAAGGGAAGACCGCTTGCGAGCAACACCCGAACCCGGCCCCAAGTATCACAGGTCATCGTCACACTGGGAAGTTACATGGAGCTGGTGAGGGGGTCACAGGGAGGTCAAGGGAGGTCAAAGGAGGTCAGTTCAAGGCACGGGTCAGTTTGTTGGGCAGTCACGGTCATCAGACGACATGGTAATTCAGTTTTTTTTTTTTTTAAACAGGTGACCCTTAAACCCTGGTGGATGGTAACCAATAACTTACTTCTTTAGTAAAATAATAATAGCGCGACGAAAACTATGCAACAGTGAGTCACAGACTGTTCATTTCATGTTTTTTTTACGAAAATAAACCGCTGACACGACGAGATTCCAATTCAACTCCTTAACCCCCCCCCCCCACCCCTACGGCCCGGCATTCAATGCGTCTTAACTTCATTCGCAACTTGAGCACGTTCCCTCTATTACAATTAAGTAGTGTACCGTAGAATTATATATATAAAAATACTATGTATGAAGATTGAAAACATAAACACACCCCGACCCCATTATATAAATTAACGTACGATCTCCCCCCCCCCCCCCATTTCCCCCCCCCCCAAAAGATGTATAAAAATACTGTACAGCATATCTCTTCGCCCTTACAAGTCAGGTAAACCATGCGGGGGGGGAGACTCACACAACACGCGGTGCGGTGGGGAGAGAGTCGGGAGCCTGGGACGCGCCCGCACGCGACGTCCATTCGCCGAGCGGGGCGCGACAGCGATTCTCGTGAACCAACCCCCTCCCCCCACCCCCGGTGTGGGATCGTAACACGCGGGGGTGAAAACAACCGACGGGAATGGACGACTTCCAACAGCCCGTGACCGCTAATTCTCCCCCGGGAGAGAAAGTCTTAAGACGAATGACGCCACCCCCCCCCACCCCCCTCCCCCCCAGCCTAAGTTGTGTCCCGCTTGTCATTAAAGTTACACGCCGGATTGTAAGACGCACCTGCCAACCCAACTTTTGATTTAAAATATCGGCTAAAACATAGTGCGTCACAACTCCGGAGAACGCGGTACGGGGCACACGATGGGGTCTCTTCTCTCTCTCTCTCGCCTCAGCTCGTTGTGTCCTCCCCTCGTGGGAGCTTCCAGGGGGGTGGGGGGGGGGCCCTCGAACTTTAGATCAGACCTGACGATAAAACTGGCGCTGGCAGAGATGCCGGGCAGTGCCCCAGCGCACGCTGCGGGAGCGGTTGCCACGCCGCCACAGGCGACCGCGTTCCAACAGAACCGCGGAACCGAGAAAAGTATAAAAACCGTCGGTTCTGGCCCAGTGCAGAGTTACGGGTCGCCGCAGGGCGGGCGGGCGGACTGGGCGGGCGGGCGTTGTGGACACCAAAAATGAAAAGCAAACAACAAAGTTACTAAAAAGGGGCCCTTTTGGTGATGAGCCGGGAGGGTGACCGCTCTGTCCGCTCGGTCAACAGCACCGACGTGGTGTGGGGGGCGGGGGATGTTCAGAGCGGACCTCTGCGACCGCCACGCTTGTATTCCGTCAACGCAGGGATCCGCCGTTGTCTCGCAGCGGGGTCCCAAGGCTTTGGTTCTCACCGCGGGGGAGAGCGACCGTCTGCGTGGCGCCGGTGGCGGGGAGAGTTTGTTGCTCCGGGGCGGTGGTGGGGGGGGGAAACACACAACGGGCCCGCTTTGGTTCTTCGTGACAGCGTGCGCGACGATAAATACGAGGAGCACCAAACCGCCGTCGAGACGGTGCGGGTGTGGGCGCTACGAGTCCACGACGTTGGGGTGGCGTTATCCCTGTCTCACATCTTAATTTTTTTCTCTTTACATTTTTTTCTATTATTTTTGCATTTTATATAAAATTAAAGCACGTGGTACAGCGCGTCAACAGTCTTCGATGGACGGACGGACGGACGGACGGACGGAGCGAACGTCTAGGCACAGCACGAGGGTCGGCCGGCTTTCAAACAGGGCCGGCCGACGCGGAGAGAGGACAAACCAACGCCCGTTTCTCCGGTTGTCACTCGCAGTCCTGCACAGCCGGGCCGGCCGCTCTCCCAACCTCGCCTCCCCCGCCTCCCCGTCCCCAAACTCCAACCCAGACCCTCCCGCTCAGCAGGAGTCCCCGTGTCTGGCAACGGCTCGCGGTAGCGGCGACCCGCGGCGACCGGCGACAGTTGCCGTTTCTCCTCGAGGCAACTCCGCAGTCCCCGGAGCAGCAGCCGTTCTCCATCCGCCCTCCCCGTCCCGAACTCCAACCCAGACCTTCCCGCTCAGCAGGAGTCCGTGTTGGGCGACGGGGGCGGCGGGTAGAGCTCGAAGTAGCTGCGTTCCGTCGCTGGCGACGGCGGGCAACCCTCGTAGCCGTTGTTGTCCTCCTCGGGCGACAGGTACTGGCTGTGCGGCGTGGGCGGCGGAGCAAAGTGCTGCGGGGGAGGCCGGCGCGGCCGCTTGGGCCGCGTGAGCGGCCGGCGCTCGGGCGCCGAGTCGCTCTCGCCCACGTCCGTGCTGTACGGCGTTGGCGGAGGGGCGACGTTGCGGCCCCGGTAGTGCCTGGATGCGAGCGCGCGGAGGGACGGGGCGGGGAGGGAGAAAGCGGAGAGCGTCGTTGGCGGTGGCGGCGGCGGATGGAAGCTGCTGCTGCTGCTGCTGCCCCCCCGTGACGCCGCTCTGTGATGCGCGATAAAAACGGACTGCGAGCGAATGTACGCCGGTCGCGCGGATATTGGCCAAGCAAAACCGAAACAGGTGGAGTTTCACGCAATGCTAACCAAATGGGATTGAAACATCACTTCTCTAGAACTCATTTTTGTGTTTAGTTTGTTGTCCTTCCGCCGCACCTCCGATTAGCAAGTGAGTGTGTTAGCGAGTGAGCGGGTATGTGAGAGTGAGCGTTTAAGCGAGCGAGTCGGTGAGTAAACGAGCGAGTGATAGAAATGAGCAAAGAAGCGAGCCACTGATGAAGCGGCTAGGCGAGTGAGCGAATAAGTGGTGAGCGAACGGGCGAGCAAGCGGGCCTCACCTGTACGAGCGCGTGGTGGAAGGGCTGTTGGAGTAGAGGTACTCGGCCGTCGTGTACTGGGACCGCACCGTCGCGGGAGACGGCGGCGGATTCAGGATCTGGAGGAAGGTGCCGGACACACGGTGAGGGAAGCGATCAAGCACCGGACACACCACGGCGAGCGAGAGCGGTAACCTTTCTAGAAGTTTTTTTTAAACACTTTTTATTGTTTGCACGTTGATCGTTTTTCTCGCCAAATGGCTCTGCTGTCCAGTGAGCACACAGCAAAGTGTGTTTACTTTACAAAGAACTCCGTTTGCACAAACCAGGAATAGCCGATTGGTCATTGTCCGCTGGCCGTTGGAGAAAAAAAAGCTTCCGAGCTCAACGGAATCACTTACTTGGGAAAGGAACTTCTTAACTTCTTCTATGCAAAAAAACTGTTCATCTTTATTTCCAGTGCGACGAGCAAGGACCACCGAAGAATAATTTCAAAGCGACAACAAGGGGCCCTTAGGGTAGGCCTTTGTGAGGGAGGGGCCGAAGATAACTATCATGACACCCGCCGGGTTGCCGGGGGCCACGCGATGATGGCGTTGCGTTCCGAGTGTACGCGCCATCGAGCTCGCCAGTGTGTCACGTGTGTATCACGCGTGTGCCGCGTGTGACACGCACCATCGGGTAGAAGGACGTCTTGCTGCTGGTGCTGCTGGAGGAGGCGCCGGTGACGTGGTTGCGGTCGTACATGCCGGGCCCGCTGCTCCCTCCGGTGAGGCTCACGGCACTCAGCAAGCTCTTGCCGCCACGTACCACTCCTTGTTGGGGGCCAGGATGGGGGGGGATGGCGAGGGGTAACAGGGGTAAGAGAAAGAGAGAGAAGTGTGAGTGAGCGGCAGCGGCGGAGATAACGCGCCATGCACTTCGGTGAAACGTGGGTGACCGGCACCGAACGTGCGTAGGTGAAGGAGGGTGGCATAGACACAGGGGGCATAGAAGAAGTACGGTACAACAATGGATTATGCTGCACTGCCGACTGCTCCCCACCACGGCGAGCGAAACTTAAAAGGGCGAAGTGAGTAAGTGAGCGGAGTGGGCGAACAAGCGAGCGAGTGAGCTGGCAAGCGGGCGATCGCGTGGGTCAGCAAGCGAGCGACTGAACAAGTGGGCGACCCAGTGAGTGAGCGAGCGAGCGACCGAATGAGCGATCCGACGGGCACCTGCGAGCGCCGGCTGCATGGCCGGCGGCGGCGGCGGGTATCCCAGGGTTCCGTGGCCCGTGGGAACTCCTCCTCCGTTGGTCATCCCCGTCCCATTCTGCCCCACTCCACCGTTACCGATACCGGTACCGCCGGCGCCAGGGCCCCCGCCTCCGCCGATGCCCACGCAGGTGTTGGCCGACGGCGCGCCCAGGGACTGGCCCACGACCGCGGCGGCGGTGGAGCTGAGCACGAACTCGGGCTGCGGGATCCCGCCCGAGACGGCCTTGACGCGCGGGCACACGACGCGCTGGCACGTGAAGTAGAGCGCCGCCAGCACGATGAGCGCCAGAGTGACGCCGATGACGGCGCCCGCGATGCTCGTCACCGGGTACTCGGCGACGCCGGACTTCTCACCGTCAGGGCCGATGGGAGCTAGGGGGTGAAGTACGGGCGGCGGCGGGGTGGGGGGCGTCGGGAGAGAGGAGGCAACGCGTCAGGGCGAGCGGACGACTGGAGGCGACCTGGAGTTGATAGTGGGGGGGATTCGCGGTTCCCGATGGTTCAGTTTGCTGCCAGTGCCTCTTCACTGCAAGGACCGCGGGCCACTGGACGGCCCCTGGTGGCCTTTTGCGCGGTCCCCGACAATACACAAAGAGCGAAAACACCCCCCCATCATTGTCATCGTGCTGCTGTCAAACCCCCAATGCGTTGAAATGTGCGGCGGTCCTAACACGGATGATGTCTTATCAGGTGAAAGTGCCCACCCCCTCCACCCCCTCTGGAAATTTGCGAAGAACACCAAATTATAGAACGGGCACTTCTCCATTATAACTTGGTTCGTTTGTTACTTTATATTGCCTAGAAGAAAATACCGGTGCTCTCCGGTTCATGACGGTCCGCTCTACGGCTGAGCCACCTTGGGCAGGCATTGTGGGCAAAGTTGGGAGCCATCCGCTCTATTGCTGAGCCACCTAGGCCGGGCATTGTGGGCAGAGGCAATGTTCTTACTGCAGCCGACTTCATCCGAGCTGTCCTTGCAGTCGTAGTTTTCGTCGCAGCGGTGGAGTTTCTTGACGCACTGCCCGCTGGTGCAGCGGAACTCGTCCGCCAGACAAGGGTCTGTGCGCACGCGCAAGCGCACAGACCCGTGCACACGCACGCACGCAAAACAAGCAAGAGAAATCACGCAAACGCATGGAAATCCGCAATGCTCTCCGACACGCGCGCCTTTGCTCTCCGATGGCGTTAAGTTGCGAGCCGCAGAGTGAACAATACATTCAAACAACACAAGTGGGATGATGGCGGTGGGAGGGGCCCATTGTCCAGCAACGGACCGACAAAAGGGTTGGAGGTGTGCATCGACTCCGCCACGTCGGTCGAGTTGAAAAGGTGCGAGAAGCTTTGTTATCTTCTGCAGCGTGCGTTCACTTCAACTTCCACCATCTAATGCACCCCGAGCCCCCTCTCCTCCCCGCTCTTTCCCAGCATTTTCTCTCCGCCCAATCACTTCTCTGCTGCCGACCCTCGGCACGCCTCTTCACGTCTCCCCATTTGCTGCGCATGCCTTCCGACCTCTCACCTCCCGCGTCGGGAGACACGTCTGACGTCAATCGTCTCCCTCCGCCGACGGCGGGCGAACTCATTCGTGGGTGCGCTCCTTCAGCCAATAGGGAGCCGTGTTTGCTCGTCAGCTCCGCGGTCCACGTAATGCTCACGCGTGTGTCCGACCGCCCTTCCGTTCGTAAGGGCAAGTCCTCTATATACATGCACAACACGTTGTGTCTTCACGTCCGTCCACACCTAGCTAATAGTCGTCTACTATCCCTTCTCAAGTGCTGCTTCTTGCCGGCCGCACGGCATTGTTGGCCTTCGGGGCCTCCGAGCTCAGCAAAGATGATTTACAAAATAAACAGATGGAAAGGAACGCACGAATTGGAGAACGCAGGGTAAGTCAAAGACATCGTGGTGACTGCAAGTAAGTGGGGGCAAGGACAGGCCGTACCTGGTAAAATAAAAAATAGTTTAAAAAATAACCTGGGATGGGCCCCACCTTAAATGAGATATTATTATAAATTGACTCATTTATCCAGAAGAGGGCACACACCGAGTCTCGCGAGACTCTTATCAGGAGGCTCCTCGCGCCAAATGTAATATTTATTTTTTCCTTTTTTAGACGTTCAGATCGGGGTGCCTTTCACGGTGCCGCCCACCACCGGACTCACCGGTGCAGTCCTCCTCGTCGGACGTGTCCTGGCAATCCTTCTCCTTGTTGCAGCGCAGCGCGGCGTCCACGCACTGCCCGCTGCGGCACTGGAACTCGGCGTCCGGGTGGCACACGGGGCAGTCGCTCTCATCGCTCTTGTCCGAGCACTCGGCGTAGCCATCGCAGCGCCACGCCAGCGGAATGCAGTCGATCTCGCCGCTCAGGCACGCAAACTGGTCCGGCGAGCACGTGGGGGGCTCTGCCAGCGGTCGACGTGGTGGTCGCGATGGTTGTTTGGGATGGTCATGGTTGTAGTGGTGATTGTGATTTTAGTGGTGGTGGTGGTTGTTGTCGTGGTGATGATAGTTTTAGTGGTGGTAGTTGTTAGGGATGGTCATGGTTGTAGTGGTGATGAATGTGGTGATTGTAGTGGTGATTGTGATTTTAGTGGTGGTGGTGGTGGTGGTTGTTGTTGTAGTGGTGATGATAGTTTTAGTGGTGGTAGTTGTAGTGGTAATAGTTGTTAGGGATGGTCATGGTTGTAGCGGCGGAGGATTTGGTGGTGGTGATTGTAGTGGTGGTTGTAAGGATGGTAATGGGAGGGGAAAAGTGGTAAGTGATGGGAGGAGAACACAATAACGTTTAGAATTTCAATCAACAATGTAACATTTTTAAGGTTCCTGCCTGGTTCTTCAATGTGTTCAGAGTTCCTCTGTCTTGCACCTATGCTCCGAGTTCCAGCGTTTTGGTTCCCATGCCATAGTTCTAATGCTTAGAGGCCCGAGGAGCCCTGCAACAATTGCCAACAATTCATTTTTGTTTCTTGTTTTATATATATACACGTTGAACTTCTATCGCACCTATTCTTGGTTCTTTCGGTAAAGTCACACCTGATGATTGCATGTGTTGCAGTCGAAACGTCGTGATAATTTTATTGTTTTATATTTGTATTATTTTGTTTCCCTTCTACGTGACTTTACCGAAAGAACCAAGAATATAAATCCCTGCAGTCACGAAAGCTTTAAATCAAAATTCTATCGCACCCTAGATAGCCATACACACAACTGCGCTCCAAACCGGGTGAACCTCCTTCGATTCCCGCTCGTGGTCAACATCGGAAACAAATATCTGAAGCTGCCCCTCCCCTAGGTCGACTCAGCCTTAAATGACTACCCGGCGCGGTGTGTAAACGTCGGCACAGAGGAGACAAACGCGGAAGGGCGCGAGCTTTGGCCACACCGTCGCCTTCTCGTGTGCCTTGCCGGCCTAAATAAGTGCTCGTCGACAACGCTTGCCCCAATCTTCGTCTGTGCGTGCACACGCGTGCACACAGGTGCTTGAGTGCGCGCACGCGCACGTGCATGTGCTTGCGTGCGTGCGAGCGTCTCACCTCCGCAGGTCAACTCGTCCTGCTGCAGCACCAGGTGCACGGGGCAGGAGCAGCGCGTCGTGCCGTCGCCCTTCACGATGCACAAGTGCGAGCAGCCTCCGTTGTCCTGCACACACGGGTGGCTCCCTGCACGCACGCACGCGCACGGCGATCGGTGGAGGCCGTGTCACTAATGGCCGGTTGTAGAGCGCGCTACTCGCTCAACGTACTGTGTTCGGGGAAGCGTGTGTCGTGTTCCGTGCGGTGCGTTCCATGTGGCGTGCGTACGCCGTGTACCGCACTACGCGTGCCGCTCGTTTGTAGCCGTACAGCGCCCGCCGTACGTTCTGTACCGCGTGCGGTGCACGTGTGCCGCGTGGCGCTTGCGCGTACGGTATGCGACGGGGTCCAGCTCCTGCGCGGCGTGCAGAGCCGTCAGGTGAGACACCCGCGCCAGGATCTTGGTCCTCCCGGCGCTGCTCAGTTTCTCGGCGCGCTCGATGAGCTGAGGCTGCCTGTCGATCCAGTACAGGTACTGGCCCAGCACCGTGAGTCCCAGCGGCTGCAGCAGGCTGTCCTGCAGCAGTTGCCGGTTGGCCCCTGTGGAACGCGACGGTCGGTCGGTGGCGACCGCATTAGCCGAACGCACGGCGGGGCGCGATTGGTTCAACAGGCGATAACGGTTCTATGGCTAGGGAGGTGATCGGGGGGGGGGCTCGTTTGTCGCCAATTATTTGCCGCCGTTGCTTGGTAGACTGGTGTAAGGCGGTAAGCAGAGCCGTCCCTAGGGTACGCGGCAAATCGGGGCGGCCGCCCCGGGCCCTGGACTTTGGGGGGCCCCCCCGTGCTTTGGCGTTGAAGGCGTCGGGGGGAGCCCACATGGTGGGATTTGAGATTTGCCCCGGGCCCCGCAACACGCTATCCACAGCCCTGTGGGCTAATGTACACCCATCTAGTGTACCTCTCGCTATGGCCACACAGCCGTAGCGAGAGGTTCACTAGATGTGGTGTGACGGGGGTGTGTACGTATTTATCAGGTCGCCGGCCCGGACAGATCTGGCTGCAATTGATTTCAAAAGATGATGAATATTCTAAAAAATAAAATTATATGACCTGGGAATCTACAGCTATGGATCGATTCACAATTGACAGGAACCAATCAGGGGGGAGACTCACCAGACAGGTCGCTGCTCTCGATGCGCTTGAGCTCCGAGTCGGCCCAGAAGAGGCGCCCCAGTTTGTTGTCGATGGCGAGGGCGACGGGGCGGCCAAGGCCCGTGGAGAAGAGCACCTCGCGCTCCGTGCCGTCCAGCGACGCACGCTCGATGCGCGGCAGGCGGTCCTGCATGTTTGTGAAGTACATGTAGCTGGCGTGCCGGAGGGGGGAGCGAGCGAGCGAGCAAGCGAGAGAAGGAACGGGGGGCGGAGGGAGAAGATCAGAGCTCGAACGACTGAGTCGATTGGTTGGGACGACAAATGAGAAGACAATTTTTTTTTGTGCAGTCAATTGTTCGGTAGCGCGCCACCTAAATGGCACGCTCAGTGTGACGCAGTTGACAATGCCGGTAATGACGATGATGCCAGCAATTATGTCAGTGATGATGATGCCAGTGACAACGATGATGCCAGTGATGATGCCAGTGAAGATGGTAGTGAGGATGACAATGATGCCAGTGATGACGTCTCACCCCCTCTCGGGGTTCACGACGATGGCGCGGGGCCGATCAGCGGGGCCCCTGAGCACGACGCCCAGCGGGCGGCCGTCGAGGCGCGTCACGTTGATGACGTTGGTGGCCTCGCACGTCCAGTAGAGCAGGCGGCCGAACATGTCCAGGCTCAGGTCGTACGGCTGCAGCTCCGCGCTGGGGCTCGACAACAGAGACAGCACCTGTGGTGGCAAATCAGGGAAGCGTTACAATTGTTACGGAATCAACCGTCGCCACGTGACAATTCAAAGCGCATTTGAACCGTTGAAAAATCGTCAGGTGAGTATGTACTCAAGCGATTTGGACTTTCACACCTTGCTTACCGTTTCTCGATTTTGCACTGCTATCGTCGTTTTGTCAAATTGTTTGTTGTTGTAACTTGCTGACCCGCCCCTACTGGACATCTGTGAAAGAGCTTCATAGCTCATCGGATTACTCCTCCTCCAGTCTAAGATAAAGACTCCGGTTCTCAAGCGCCCGGGACATTCCACCCTCGCCGTTCCGCCCGCTTCATCCCTACCTGCGTTCCGTCCTCGCGCGCCCGCCGGATGGCGTTCTGCCGCGAGTCGACCCAGTAAAGGAGGCGGTCGAGGGGGTCGTAGGCGAGGGCGCGGACGCTGCGCATCGGGTGGATGGGCAGCACCATGTCGGGGCTCTGCTGCTCGTCCAGCACCATGCGGCTCACGCTGCTGCGCTGGCTGAACAGCAGGAACGAGCTCGGGGCTGGGCGGGCGAGAAAGACGGGCGAGCGGGGCGGGCGAGCGGGCGGGGCGGGGGAGCGGTGAGAAAGTCAGAGGGGAAGAGGGAGACACCGATGAAGAGTGGTGGACGTTGGCGAGAGCGCAGCGATGGATATACGTGCCACTCCTTTCTGGGGGACGTTTGTCTCTGTGCGTGCGGCGAACCTGCGTGGGTCTGTCCCGTGACCTCCTGCCAACGGGGCCTTCGACACTTCACACGGCCTCAAAGCGCACACACCTAGTGTGGCACAGGCTCCGTGGTGAGGACGTCGCTACTTAGTGGTGAACGGCGGTTGTTGCCGTGTGTGTTCGTGCGGGACTCACGAACGCAAGTGCGGTTATCGGACAGCTTCAGGGTGTAGTGGGCGGAACACGCGCACGTGTACCCGCCCGGGCGCGCCAGGCAGAGGTGCGAGCAGCCCGCGCCGCCGCTGTCCTCCGCACACGAGTTCGAGCCGCCCTGCCTAGACGAGTGGAACACCAGGATGTCCATCACGAAGTCCAGCTGCTCCTGTGGGGTGGGGGGGGAAGAGAGGAGAGAAGAGGAAGAGGTCGCAGCGTCAGCGGGTGAATGAACGATCGACGAATGGGTGGTCACGGCAGTCAGTTTGATTGAATAGCGCCGACTAATTCGCACGTTGCCGAAATGTTAACCCCCTCGCCTGGTATACAGGTCGTGGGTTCGATCCCGAGCCCGACGCCTGTTGTATATTTGGAGTTTGCATGTTCTCCCCGTGGTCACGTGGATTTTTCTCTGGGGCCTCCTGTACTGCAGAGTGCGGTTACGTGAACTCCCCGACATGAGAGTGAACTCGCCTGCACGTATAGGCATGCAGTCGGGCGCCTACGAATGCTCGCTCAGAGCAATTGCCCCCACACAGTTTGCCAAGGCTATACGGAGGACCTTTGCCTTTGAGGGCACCGGAGTACCCGGAGGAAACCCACGCAAGGTGGGAGGGTGAGGAAGGGGTGCAGATGGAATATAACCAACTTGCTGTATTGCCATACTCTAGCAAGCCAGGAGATGGCGATCTCACCGCTCGCGGGTACGCAGGGAGTTTCACAAACTTTCGCGATCGATCCGCCAACCCCTCCCTGCCTCCCTCCTCCCAAGGTTCTGGATTGGAGTAGGCCACGTGCAGCATAGCTACCGTCACGTGGCCGGCGGCGGTGGTCCGGTGACCTCGTGTGTCAGCGTCCAGTGACATTCACCCCCCGCGGGAGTGACCTGCACGAGGGCGTGCGGTGACACGAACTCGCCTACGTCACTCAAATCAATTAGCATTACGCACAGTAGAAATCATCGCCCCCTCCACCCCGCTCCCCCCAGACTGGGAGACTAATGCCCACGTGGGCATCAGTCACATCGTGCCCACATCGGGGCAGCTGCCACTCGGAGTGCCCCTCTTAAGACTGTTTCACACGAGACGCGACACAAGGGAAAGAAAGCGCTGTAGGACGCCTGGAGGGCGGCTGTATCAAACCCGTTGTTACGATTCGCTTGACGACGACAGCCATTAACGTTACGATTACCACTAGTACACGAGGCGAGCTCACCTGTATGAGGGTGCGGTTGCCGCCGCTGGCCTTGTCGGCGCGCTCGATGCTGCGCCGGCTCCAGTCCGTCCAGTAGATGTGGTCGCGGTACTGGGTGAGCCCAAAGGGGTGCGGCAGGTCCTGGGCGATCACCTCGCGGCCCGTGCCTGCGAGCGACGGCGCGCGGCGTTAAACCCGAAACTCGGAGGGGCGGGGGGTCGGCGGCGCGTTGTGGCGAGATGTTAACTACCTCGCCTGGTAGACAGGAGGTTGTGGGTTCTATCCCGACACTGACACCTGCTGCGTATTTACGTGTCTCTCTCCCCTTGGTCGCCTGGATTTGATCTCCGGGTCCTCCGGTTTTAAACCTCCCCATTTAGAATCAACATCACGTGTTTAGAGTATTTGGCTGCTGCTATAAATGTCCACGTGATGATGATGATAAGGCCACTTAGTTGAGATATCATTTGTGGCCGGGTCGTTTTGAAAAAACGGAGCTATGCAGCTCAGTGGGCCTTACGCAGTAAAATACAATTGTTTCGTTTTTGCAATGTTTACGATTGACACGCACCACAGTAATGACCGGCGGCGGCCGCTGGATTCTAACCGCAAACCTCCTCAACGTCGAGCGGCGACGAAGCGCTACCGTTGGAGGTCACGCAACCGCCACGCAAGGTACGGGCAGGGCACGACGTGGAGCGGTGGGGGGGCAAGCACCCACCGAGCATGTTGGACGACTCGATGAGGTTGGTGTCGAGGTCAGCCCAGTAGAGGCGCCGCTCGGCGTAGTCGATGGTGAGGCCGTTGGCGCGCCCCATGTTGCCCAGCAGCGTGACGCGCACCGAGCCGTCCATGCCCGCCCGCTCGATGCGCGGGCTGCCGCCCCACTCCGTCCAGTACATGAATCTTAACGAAGACAAAGGAGATCCCAAACGCACCTTATAGGCTTAGCAGACTGCTGTTAAGCGAGCATCGCCTAGACAGGCCGGCACGGCACACGACGGGGGTGGTTGGCCAGGACCACGCCGGACCGCCTTTGTTTCCCCAGTGGCGACGTTTACTACTCATTTGAAGCCGAGTCGACCAAGCTAGGGGATGCCCAGAACCGGTTCACAGAATCATCAATGATGTTGGTAGTGGTCGTGAGCGAGAATCGAACTCGGGCCATGGAGTTCATAGTGCAGTGCGCGACCCGCTGCGCCACCGTGAATGTTTATGCACGCGCACACACGCGCGCACACACACACACATTTGCGAAGGGAGGATTTAACGTTATGATTTACAGCGGGGGGGGAGGTGCTTATGTTTTTTTATGCCGGCATTAAACCTTCGCACGAGCCCAGTCGTAATGTTCGCTGTAACTCACACTCTCAATGGCGGCCGATCAGATTGAACAAAGCCATGGCGGAGTGACTAACTTTCGCAGTGCCCCTCGCCTCCAGACTATAAACTGATCTTTACCACAGCCAAAACAATAACCTTAACTCTAAAGCTACGTCTTAAAGTTAAGGTTTTTATAACAGCTACATTTTGACACAAAATCCAACACTAACATTTGTCGTCGCATTATCCTTAACAGTCATCCTACGTACATAGTAACTCATAACTTATAGCCATCTGTGAACCCACTGCTGGTCGTGGAGGTTTGTTTGATGATGATTCCGTGCAGTGAACTATGTAGGGAGCAGTATTGTGAGCTGTGTGGCGAGCAGTGTTAGCAAGCTCTGCGGTGAGCCGTGTGGGTGAGCCATGTGGGTGAACCTTGCAGTGAGCAGTGTGGTGGAGCTGTGTGGTGGAGCCGTGTGGGTGAGCCGTGTGGGTGAGCCGTGTGGGTGAGCCGTGTGGGTGAGCCGTGTGGGTGAGCCGTGTGGGTGAACCGTGTGGGTGAGCCGTGTGGGCGAGCCGTGTGGGTGAGCCGTGTGGGTAAGGCGTGTGGGTGAGCCTTGCAGTGAGCAGTGTGGTGAGCCTTGTGGGTGAACCTTGCTGTGAACTGTGTGGGTGAGCCGTGTGGGTGAGCCGTGTGGGTGAACCTTGCGGTGAGCCGTGTGAGCCGTGTGGGTGAACCTTGCGGTGAGCCTCGAGGTGAGCCGTGTGGGTGAGCCATGTGGGTGAGCCGTGTGGGTTAACCTTGCAGTGAGCAGTGTGGTGAGCCGTGTGGGTGAGCCATGTGGGTGAACCTTGCGGTGAGCCTTGAGGTGAGCCTTGAGGTGAGCCGTGTGGGTGAGCCGTGGGTGAACCTTGCAGTGAGCCGTGTGGGTGAGCCATGTGGGTGAACCTTGCGGTGAGCCTTGAGGTGAGCCTTGAGGTGAGCCGTGTGGGTGAGCCGTGTGGGTGAGCCGTGTGGGTGAGCCGTGTGGGTGAGCCGTGGGTGAGCCTTGCAGTGAGCAGTGTGGTGAGCCTTGTGGGTGAACCTTGCTGTGAACTGTGTGGGTGAGCCGTGTGGGCGAGCCGTGTGGGCGAGCCGTGTGGGCGAGCCGCGTGGGCGAGCCATGTGGGTGAACCTTGCGGGTGAGCCGTGTGGCAAGCCATGTGGGCGAGCAGTGTGGGCGAGCAATGTGGGCGAGCCGTGTGGGCGAGCCATGTGGGTGAGCCGTGTGGGCGAGCCGCGTGCAAACCTCACCCTTCCTCAGGGTCCACAACGAGGGCGCGCGGGTTGTCCAGGTCCTTCCACACGAGCACCTGGCGGTGCGAGCCGTCGAGGCGCGCCACCTCGATGCGGTTGGTGCCCGTGTCGGCCCAGTAGAGGTTGCGGCCCAGCCAGTCGACGGCGAGGCCCTCGGGCGAGTCCAGCCCAAACTCCACCACGTGCTCCAGCGAGCTGCCGTTCATGTACGCGCGGCTGATCATCTGGCGCGGCGACGGGGAGAGAGAGAGAGCGAGAGAGGGGGGGGGTTACGATGGAGGCACGGGCAGCACGGCAAGGGGCGGATGGCGGAGGGAAGCGTGGCGTGGATGGACAGGGTGGGATGCAGAAGAAGAAGGGGACAAGACCGCAGGTTAAAAAACGGAAGTTTCCAACCAAAAACATCGTTTTTAACATCAGCTGCGTGAATTGTTGAGTTAGGGCGAAGGGGTAAAAGGCGCAGACCTGAAATTGCTTGCTCGTGGCGTTGCTCGCGCGAGGGCTTCGACTGTGGGGAGCTCCGGTAGAGGGTATTTGGCCTACTATTCCACACTTACGTTCAAACCATTTGCGACAACGTGCGGCCGTGGCTTGGTCGTGTCCAATAACATTTTGATCGATGGAACGATGTGAACTTGCAGACCCCATCGACAACGGAGCCACCACACCCACACCCCCTCCTGTCCCCTACTCTAAAAACTAAACTAAACAATGTTTCCATTTTGCCAGGTAAGGCCCACTGAGCTAAATAGCTCCTCTTCAGCGGTGACCTGGCCACAAATGATAGCTCAACGAAGTGGCCCATCATGTGGAAATTTAAAGCAGCCAAATACTCTAAATGCACGTTTATAAATGTGGAGGGAAAACCAGAGGACCTGGAGAAAAATCCACACGACCACAGGGAGAGAGAGACACGCAAACTCCAAATGATTCAAGCGTCAGGGTCGGGATCAAAGCCACGACCTCCTGCACACCAGGCAAGGGGAGTTAACATCTCGATTATCTGGGCACCCCCCCCCTCTCTTCCTCCCCCCCCTCTTTCTCGCACACCTTGAGGCTGATGTCGGTCCAGTAGATGCGCCCGTCGCTCACGTCGAAGTCCAGGGCGGACGCCTCCTTGACGCCGGCGAGTGGGATGGCCACGTCGTTGTGGCTCGTCTCGAGCGAGATGCGGCGGATGTCCGCGCGGCGTGAGAACAGCAGGAAGGCCTCGGGCAAGATGCAGGTGTGCATGTCGCCCAGCAGCTCCAGGCCCATGGGGCACGCGCACCGCGGCCCCACCGGCCGGTACAGGCACAGGTGGCTGCAGCCGCCGTTGTCGAGGGTGCACGGGTTCGTACCTGCAAGCGGCGGCGGTCGTTTGGTGGAGGCGAGGGTCGGGGGTCGTGGTTGTGGCGGGAGCGGAGGAGAGAGGAGAGAGGAAAGGCGGCATCGAGGTCAGGAGATGCGTCGTTAACGGTGACGCGTGGGAAGGGGGAGGATTAGTCCACAACGCGGCCCTTCCGGTAGGTAACGTACGACAGAAACCGTGAACGCGTAAAGGGGACAAATAAACTAGAGGAGAGAAATGGGGCTGCGTGAAGTCCTGGAGTGCTGGGTCACGGTTAGAGTTGTAACTAGTGCTGTCGGGGCTGCTTGGCTGGTTTGTTAAGTTGTTGAGCTAGGCGCTGCTTGAATAGCTTTGTTAAAGTTATGGGGGCGGTTTGTCAGAATCAAGACTTAGGACTATGGTCTGGGTGGCTCGCTATGCGGGGGCAGCAGTCTGTATTGGTGGTTCATTTGGTTATGGTTTAGAGGTAAGGCTAAAGTTATACAAGATAAGATCACGCCCTACAATCTTCTAACCTTTCCGAACAATCTGCAGTAATTTTTCCCCCCCAAGACCCAAAGTATGTATGGCTCTTTTTTTCTTTTCACTTCTAAACGTAAAGGAAAAAAACAGCGAACAGATCTTCGTTTCAAGCGCGTTCCGCACCTCCCAGCGGCCGCGTGCCGGTGGCCTTGAGGCCCATGAGGTCGGGCAGCTGCTCGACGATGACCTCGCGCACCAGCGTGCGCTTGTGCACGCGCTCGATGGAGCGCCGCTGCCAGTCGGTCCAATAGAGCCAGTCGCCCAGCAGGCTGAAGCCGAAGATGTGCGGCAGCTTGTCCTCCACGAGCACCTTCCGCCCCGTGCCGTCCACGCGCATCACCTGCGCGGGCGACGGGAACAACGGCAACAAGGAAACACAAAGATCGAGACTGAAGGCCAACGCGTTCCACGGTCAGCCAGATCGACGGCCTGCCCGAACGGTAGCCCAAGCCATCTGCCTGGTGTTAGATGAGAATCAGAATCTTGATATATCGACTGGCGGAATCTGATGAGTTGTGAAGATCTTTGTCAGAGAGGTGCCCCAGTAGGTTTTGCACGTGTCCAGTAGGTGTTCGCGTTGGGCCATGTGGATGCCACTCCCAATGCCCGTGTCTCGGTGGACAGCCCTCCTCTCTCCTGCACCCACGTCCTACGTGGCACAATCTTTTTGCTGCCTTAAAAAAAAAAGGTACCCGCCACATTCTCCCTTCGGACATCCGCACTGCTCCCATCTCATCTTGCCACAAAACCTCCAAGCATCCATTGCAGACGCTTGCGCTCAAATGCAAGCAGTTTACTTTCACAAAGTGCTTGGTCTTTAGCTCTCGGAAACCAAACGGTGACACATCAGATGTAGCACTCCCACCTCAAATAGCCCTCTTCCTTTACACTCAAGACTTTATACTTTTCGCCTTACAAAAAGCGGTCACGTATAATCGCTTGCGTCGTTGCATTTACACGATCCGGGTGCCGCCCCCATTTGGTAAATCCACTGCTGGACGAAGGCACCCTCCTCCCATGCTGTGCAGGTCGTGGAGGTCGTTTGACCGTACAGTCCGTTCTATAACGCCACGTGGTGTTTTTATCACGCGATTTGGATGTATGACGCAATGACTGTATCGGGGAACACATTTTTGAAAACACGGACGGGAACTGGATATATCGCGCCTCGAGTGAACAGAACTACGTCACGCGAGTAGGAACAAGCGGTCGTACGGCTGCCTCGGCGTGGCATCATCATCATCACACAGGGCTGCGGGATGCTGCTGGATGCCTCTAGATGCTACCCACGCGCCTCAGTCTTTGTCCGGCCTGCGCACGCATCTCGCGTGTTCTCGCGGACCGTGCCTTACCCCCTATATTATTTATTATAACGCGATCGTTCCATAATGCGGTGTTCTTCAGGAACGCAACTACCGCCGTACTACAGGAGAACAGGACTGCACTTCGCCACGCTGGTCAGTAAAAGTTTCACTTCCTTATTAAAACGCGTGTCAAAAAAAAAAAGGCCCATAAACGGCCGAGGTTAAATGAGGTTCCTTCAAAGGGCTTGCGATTTGATGACATTGCAGCAAACTTTTGCTGGATAATCTGTGTACCAGGCGTTTCCCATGAGTTTATTTGAGCCTAAAAACAAACAGAAAGGGTCCGCACGATCCTGACTAGCTTGCCGGCCATAAAGGAAAGCAGCCATTTGAAAAGCAAACATAAGATTAAATTATCCACCAAAACAATTAAAAAAAATTCTAAATGGGCACAACAATGATAATAATATTAACAATTATAATAATAATGTCGTTTCATCTGATAAAAGCCTCGCCAAGTCTGCAGAAGCTTTTTCAGTGCTGTATGAAAAAAAAATTTTGGCCGAATGAAATGCAGTTGTGGGGGCGTACGAAATCAAATGACGGGCCACACAAAATGTGGTTGTGGGCCGTATCTTGGCCTCCTCGGTTCCCCCCCCCCCCCCCCAGACAACTGCAGCGAACTGTAGTCCCTCTGCAAAACCAGCACCCGAGCACTCGCGCAAAACGCACAAGGGGGCACGGGCGCGGGCACGGGCGCGCGTGTCCAACCACCCCCACTGTAAAACCTGGAGCCGATTTCGCGACAATCTGTTACTGGTTAACGTCCGTCCGCCGTGGTGGACCGGGAGAGAAAGTGGTAAAAATGGGACCCCAATGCCTGGGATGTTTGTGTGCTTTGGCGTGCTGTTTGGAATGCTAGCATGTGGGAGGATGGGGAAAGAGGGGTGGGGGTGGTGGTGGTGCGGACGGGGGTGGGGGTGGCGAGGGGAGTCTGCTGCTGTGGCGGTTTGAGAGTGCGGCGGGAGGGGGGGGAGTATTTAACTTTTAGGTGACCCTTATTCGTTCGTCTTAAAAACTCATAAAACTCCGCTGCGGATTTCGAGAGCGGACCGATGCAGGAGCTTTTCTTTGAGAGGGGCTACGGCCGAACGGGGCATCCCCGGCACATTTGGCGGAGCGCACGCCGTGACGCATTGCGGCCCACCTCTACAATCATCGCCACAGAGGGGCAGGTGACCGAAGCGACCGAGCGCGCCAGTGTTGGGAACAACAGCGCTGTTGCCATGCTGAAGGTGTTCCCCTCTCACACCCGATTTGCGCAGCTAAGAGACTTGCAGGCCGTGGGCCATATGTCTTCCCCAATCCTGGGTTAAGCAAAGACATGATCAAAAGAAACGGCTCTTATCTTGCAGCCCAGGATGCGCAAGCTGTGCATCCTGGGCTGTCCTACAGGAGTGTGAAAACTTCACGTGGGCGTGGTGAAATTTGAAGTGGCTTTCAGGCACACAGGGCCACGGCACGCTCGAGTCACACCACCGCGTCATTACACAGTCATCACGGCACCGTTCTGATGTCATCGCAAGAGCACTACGATGACAATCGTGAAACTCGCGTGTCCATGTCATTGATCGCTCCGCTATTTGTCTTTCGCTTTTTTTGTGTGCTGGTTGTTATCGCGTTGACGTACGGACATTGCCGTTTGGCCGGTGTCGGCCGCGAGCGGGGATTGAACTCGGGATGGCTGGATTCGGAGCGCAGTGCGCGAACCGACTGCATGGACACTCTCCCACTTTGTTAAAATCGGACAACCACACAAAGATAAACCAACGCGCACGAGTGCTCGCAACTGAGGTCGCACCTCTCGGCAAACGCCCGATGGTGCTGGATGCAATCGCCAGTGACATGACGAGTAGAAAATGTCAAAATGTTTGATTGCAACTACTTAAAAGTATTACTATTGAACAATTTATGTTATTTTAACAGGTAAGGCCCACTGACGCGACCTGACCAAATAAAGGTTCACTCAACGACGTGGCTTATCATATGGAAATTTATAGTAGGCAAATACTCTAAACGAATGTTTATAAACGTGGAGGGTTAAAACCGGAGGACCATAGGGAGAACGTGCAGGCGTCAGGGTCGGGATTGAACCCACGACCCCCTGTCTACCGAGTGAGGTAGTTAACATCTTGCCACCATGGCAACCATAAACACTCCGATTACGCTGATAAACCAAATCAATTAGCGTATTTGCCCCAAGACGTGACAACGTGGGCTCCACCGGATATGGAGGGTGGTGGGAGGGTTTCAGTTAATAATTGGCATTATAACTCACACAACGATTTAATCCCAAAAGAAACTAATTATGAATCGCACATACCGTACTTGAGCGAGGTGGATGCGGGCCAACTGTGGAAAAGTTTGGGAGATGAACATTTTTAGTTGTGTAAATCGCGTTAAAAATGCTCCGAATGATGGCCAAAACGATAAGGCGGACGCCAAAAAGTCATTGCTCGATAAAAAAAAATAACAGCGGATTACTCAAAAATGCGTGCTGTGGTTTTATAAAGAAAAATCAACAGAACCAAAGCAAGGGCCACACGCACACACATACACGCGCACACAGACGCACACACAGGAACACACAGACACTAACACACAAGCATGTAATACAGACACGCACACACACAAAGGAATGCATACAAACACAGGTGCGTACACACATCGACAATGACAGACAGTTGCACAGACACACAAACACAACATTTCCCAGCATAGCTACATAGACGGTCAGGGCAAGTGCTGTTACTGAGCGCCTATTAAGGCCAGCACGAGGGAGTAGTGTTGACAGCACCACGCCCGGCCACCTTTATCTCCCCAATGTATATAAAACGCACCACATACTCTTCATTTTAAGGGGGTGAGTCGACCTAGGGGAGGCCCAGGAACCGGTTTGGCTATCACTCGCCACTGCCATTAGCCACAGCCGGGAATCTAACCAGGTTTCCAAGTTCGTTAGTGCCGAGTGCACTCACCAGTGCACCACCCCGGTCCCCACACGAGTACACACAAGCACACCGTTGCATGGCTTGTGCTCTCGAACGAAGAGAGCTACGCAGCCAGTAGCTTTGGATGTGTTCAAGTCTCCTCCCTTGTCCACGTGCCCCCTCCCCGCCCCCCTAGGAGGTGGGGGGGGGGGGGGTGAGCAGTCTCTGGCGCCAGAAGGAAAGGCCCCCCCCCACCACAACACCACCATCCCCCACCCTTCTCGAAGTTTCCCCGGCCATCTGGACGGCATCACGTGACTAATTGGCGACGCGCGGTGGCAAGCGGTCAGCCCAAGACGAGGAGCCGAGCGGGTCTCGTCGTTAGCCACGACCTCTGACCCTCCCGACCCGGAGCAATGAAGAAATGAGGCAACGAAGCAGACAGGACCCCCGAGTCAAAGTCGGCACCGCCGGATTTGTGGCGTTTTTATGGCAATCGCGATCGAGAACTCAGTTCGAGGGAGGCGGCCCTGTCACCACTTTGTGGACAAGTCGCCCGTCTCGATGTGAAAACCCCAGCAGCAAATTGCGCGCTTCCGAGTTTGGCGGTCGACGTTCGCAAGCGGACTACGACTCTGAAAGGAATGGCGCTGCCCCGGTGGTCTCCCCCCTCCTCCCCCCCCTCCCCCACCGTGATTCATGGATCCACACGAACACGGGGAGAGAGACAAGGAAACTTCAAATATACAGCAGGCGTCGGTGTCAGGATCGAACCCACGAGCTCCTGAATGCAAGGCGAGGTAGCTAACATCTTGCCATCGCGGCGCCTGGTGGGATTTCCCTTTTAAAAGTGCGGCCGCAGATTCCACGTGCAGATGGGGGGGGGGAGCTCGGCTCCGGGCCCCCACCCCCCCGCATGAGAAACCAAATTCAATCAATGTCACCAGACGGCACGGACCCATTAAGGGCACAGGAAAACTACCTTCTGTTGCCTTTTCCTGCAATTAAGTCGACTCCCTCCCGTTTTTTTTCTTCTCTCCTCGGAA